TCCGCGGCCGCAGACTCCTGGCGCGCCCTGGCGCTCGGCTCGCGAGGACGCTGCTGGCCGCCGGGGGCTCCGGCTCCGGGTGACAGACCTGCTGCTGCTGCCGCCGCTGCTGCTCCTCACACGGCGGGCGCTGCTGCCGCTGCCGCCGCCGGGGAGTCAGACCCTGCGCCTTCCATTGCCACATTGCGCGGGGGTCCCGAGGTCTCTGCGGCCGCCGCTGCCCACATCCAGTTCGCGGGAGGGCGAGAGCCGGCGTGCCGGGCGAGCCTGTTCTCCGGGCGCTTCCACGGCGCTCTGCGCGATCCCCAAGTCCCTCTACCCGCCCCCCGCCCCGCGCAGCGACCCCTTCACGGCAGAAAGCGCCCGCAGATCTCCGCCGCTGCCGCCGGCTGCACGGGCTCCCTCGGCGCCTCCTGGGTCTCCGGAGCGGCTGCCGAGGGCCGGCGAAGAGCCGCGGGGTCCGATGGTGTCCGGCGGGTCTCAGCGCTGCCGGACCGGGGCAGCCGCTGCTGCCGCCGCTCCTGCTGCTGCTGCTGGCGGTGGCGGCTCCCGAAGCTGCTGCTCGCGCTCTGGCTGCTGGGTTCGCGGTAGCTGCTCGGTCCCGGACTCTGCTTTCTTGTGCTCCTCACCGACCCGCTGGACCATTCTGCCCCCGCGCAGCGCGCCTCTCTCGCTCCCGGGACCTGGGGACTCCGCTCTGTGTGTGTGCAGCGGGCAGCGGCCGCAGCAGCTCCTTGATTCAATAGATGAGATGGAAGAAGAAAAAAAAGAACTCTCTCCATTTGGAGAAAGAGGAGGAGGAGGGGAGGGGGTGGAGGGGGAGAGAGCGAGCGAAAGAGAAAAAGGCTGGAACTCCCGCCCCCGGGGCTGTCAGATGGCTAGAGTTTCTGCGACGCGATTGGCTCACGGAGGGCAGAAATTACTCAGCAAACATGACTATTATTAGCTGCTTAGCAACAGCTCACCAAAGTAGAGAGACCACCCAGGTAGGCAACCCCAGTGTGTGCATCCCCGGCTCCGGGAGGGAGCCTCGCACAGCGCCAACCTTCTAGCATGCAATACTTCCATTAAGGAATGCTCCCCCCTCCTTTCTTTCTTATTCCTTTTCTTTTCAACAGTGTCTTCTTTTTGTGAGACGCCTTTTGCGCGGACACACGCGCGCGCGCGCACCAACGCGCGCGCGCGCAGTTGCTTCTCGATAGACACGGGCGATAACGTAATATTTCTTTAAGCGCTTAAACAATTTCTGAAATTCCTCAAAGAAAACCTTTTAAAGGCACGTTGGCCTCAAGCTGCCGCAAATACTGGGAGGTCCGGCTTGAATTCCCAGGCCTGCACCAATAATGACAGGGTGGTGGATAGTGCGCCAGTGTGTGCCAATTTTTTTGTTTTTCTGCTCTTTTCTTTTATAACTAAAGGCAAGACTTAGACTCTCGCAGGGAACAGCGCCTCGCTTTAAGATAAACAAAATGGGAGGTTAAAGAGGAAAGCAAGGACGCTGGGGAAGCCACCCTTTCTTTAAAATTCCTCTCCCCGGCCCCCCAAACACGACAGCACAGGCCAGTTTGAAAGAGTCTGTTCTATTAAACGTGGAATCCAGACACTGAAGCAATCTCGTAGAGGCAGAGGCGTTTATTGGAATCTTTAATGTGCTAGTAAAAGAACAATCTTTTTAACAGCCCACAGAAATGAAATTGTTTGCTTGAGAGATTTCCTGATTATATTTAAGGATTCATCTGGACCACCCCCCAACCACATTCTTATATATGTCAGTTTTAAGCTTTTTTTTTTTTACAAAAATCGGTGTGCATCCCTCAATATTTAATAATAGCGTGACGTAGAATAAAGGCTTTGATGTCGGATTCATTTGAAACAAATTGTGCACAGATCGCGAGGATTCATCCCGACATTGTATCCCATGTCACCAAGACTTCCCGGGAATTCGCTTTCCGTTGAACAAGAAAACACGCGACCTGGGGGCGGGGGGGGGGATCCTGGGGCCAGAGACAAACCGGGGGGGGGGGGGGGGGGGGGGGGGGATCCTGGGGCCAGAGACAAACTGTCTACACAACTATGCATTTTTTAAGAAAAAAAAAAAAAACGCTTAGAGAATGGAGAATAAAATGTGTTTTCTTGCGTTTTCTAGTTAAGTTCCTCCCTGCCGTAGACGCAGGACCTAGAAACTCGAGTCTACTACATTTATTTTTCTTTTCTTTTTTTCTTTTCTGAATTGAACTGCAGAGGGAACCGGAGTGGTAAGAAGCCAACTGAAGCCGTGAAATGGGGCACTGTGGCTTTAAGATGCACACGGTGTGTGTTCATTGAAAAAAAAAGAAGAAAGGAAAGGAAAGAAAGAAACCCAGATGGAGGGAAAGGGGGAGGAGCGGGGGAGAGGGCGGAGCCCTCGCGGCCACGTGACCCGGACCGGGGGCCAGTCCGCGCGCGCCTGGGCGCGTCCGCATGCGCGAGCTCTGGGCTCCCGGCCTCCGCGGGGCTCGGGCGGAGCAGGTAGGATGGTCGGCGTACAGGGCCAGCGCCTCGCGGGTTCCTCGCCTTCAGCTGGGCCTCCCGGGGCCCGAGCGATGCACGCGCCCCGCCGGCACGGACGGACGTGCCGGACACGCCGTAGTAAATTCCTGAAGGCGGACCGGCCCCCTACGTCGCCCAATGCCCGCGCGACCTCCCCGCCGCCGTCCAATGGCTGCCCGCGGAGCCCTTCCCATTCAGTGGCCAGCGTTCCTGGCTGCAGCCCCTAGCGGGGCGGCGGAGGGGCGCGCGGCCACCGGGGGTGGTGCACGCGGCTCCCGTGGGGGTCCGTTCGCCGGCCCTCCCTGCCCACCAGCCGCCACCACCCCCTTCCCGCTCTTTCTCTAGCGCTGCTTTGCAGTCCTCCCTAGCCTCGCTATCCCTCCTCTCTAGCTTTTTCTCGGTCCCAGTTTCATTAAGACGCCTTGCCGTCCTGAATCCCGAACCCGCAAAACGTGCGGGTTCTGAAACGGGGTAGGGTGTCCGGGAGAACACGCGTTGAGTCACCGGATCGGGAAGAGGAACCGAGTACCCGACCAGCGCGGAAATTCAAAACGCCTCACTCTGGGAGCACGTGATTTTCGAGTGACGCTGGGAAGAGCAGCTTAAAATCCTGAAGGGAAGGCACCCACTGTTCTGGGAAAAGCTCCGCGCCTAGCTAGTTTATCCTTGGAGTAAAAGACTGGGCTTTGGTAGTTTGATAAATAGCGTAGAGCAGGAAAGCTGGATTACTATTTTAGCTTTTACATTTCGTGCTTGCGGTAGGAAATTGGTTTTCAAGACTTAAAGAATGGCACCCCTAGTTCAAAGGTCGGCCTGTTTTTATATTTGAGGCTTTGCTGTATGGCAAGGTAACCACGTAGTCCTAGGAAAGCTTGTTTTTTCAACATTCTTTTCAGTATTTTAGACCTAAGTAGTTTTTTTGTTTGGGTTTGGGTTTTTGGGGGGGTTCCCCCTCCCAGGCTTTTACTTCTGTTGGTTCCATTATAGCTACTTGGATTCTGGGATTCTAGAATGAAGCTATGGGCTAGACTATCTCGTCTATGGCCAGACTTCTACTGTGGCACATTTCCCTCGGCTTGACTTAATTCCTAAGTGTTTTGAACATTGATCCTCGAAGTTTGCAGCCCTTTGAGCCCCCCCACCCCCACCCCTGTTTGATAGGTTAACTTTTCAGCATCTCAAACAATAGTCCTGACCTGTACATTCTACCCATAGGTTTCAGGACGCCATCCCCAGGCTCCTTCTAACAAGCACTGTCTTAATCTCCCTGCCCCCACCCGCTGCTTCCCCTGTGGTCTGCTTTTTCATACACAGAGATGAATTACTTTGAGGATCTAATTGGCCTTGTTTCTGTAACGTTTTAAGAAAGGGAAGAGGAGCCAGTGTAAAAAGCCTGCTCGACTTGGGTGGTCAGGGCTGAAGCTGCCCCCAATTTGCCTCATTGCTGATGCATGCGAGTGCGACATTCCCAGCGATAATGTTGTTCCTAATCAATCTGCCCTTATTTACATTTGTAAGCATTGTGGGCTTTAATATGCATGCCCTGTGCAGGGCCTGCTGAGCCACACCGGGTTTGTTAACTTCCAGCTAACCACAAGGATTCCGCAGACCTGAAAGGCAGACTGCAGGAGCCAGGCCTGCTAAGGTGTCAGCTGGTATTACAGTCCCTTGAAGGGCCTTTCTGCCCGGTGGCTCCCCCTGTGAGAGTTACTAAATAACTGAGACCTTAGGGCCTTAGCCAGCAGAGTTTCAGGCCTCGGCAAGTGGCTGTTCTCCCTCCCAAGTAAAATTCATCTTGATGCATGAATTTACATTTTTTTTCTCTCCACCAGGATGCAGGACTTCTCAACTGAGTCTGTAGTTTTCAAAACAGATTCCTTCAACTCTCTAAATTCACTCACTTTCTCCCCCCTTTTCTGTTCCAGTGCTTTGTCACACATGTCAAAAATGACATCAGATTATCCAAATGATAAGATGACAATGAGATAAAACATCTGTCCTTGGTGTTCAGCTGTTCCAGTGGTATGCAGTTGTCAGAGTCAGATTCTAGGACACTATGAAAGGCCACAAAGGGATTTAACTTTGCACTGGCTTTTCAGATCAAACTACATGAATCTTTAAGATTCAGAGTCATTCAGTTCATTTCTGTAGCATATAACTGAATAAATGGGTAAATATATTCCATTCATTTGACCCTTAGGCTATATATGTAATAGTCTTCCGCCAATCCAAAGAATTGCAAATATATTAAATCCTACAATATTGTTGCTTCAGGGGTGGGACAAAGAGAGAGATGGGGTTGTTTTAACATTCTATTTATGGATGGGGAACCCAGGATACAGGACATGAGTGACAGGCCAGGGCTTAAGCAGTTCAAAGCAGGTACCTTGGATAAGAGTTTAAGTA